GTATCATCAGCAAATTTAAACAGGTTGCTTTTCACCCTGTCGTCCAAATCGCTGATGAAGAAATTGAACAGCGCAGGCCCAAGGACCGAGCCCTGGGGGACTCCACTGCCCACTTCCCCCCAGGTCGAATATGACCCATCCACCACCACCCTCTGAGTGTGACCCTTCAGCCAATCTGCAATCCATCTGACTGTGTAGGCATCAATGCCACAGTCGCCTAGTTTTTTAATGAGGATGGGGTGGGAGATGGTGTCAAAGGCCTTGCTGAAGTCTAGAAAGACTACGTCCACGGCGACACCTGCATCCATTGCCTTTGTGACCTGATCATAAAAGGCAATCAGGTTGGTCTGACAGGTTGGTCAAAAGTATATCCAGAATGGTTAGGTTGTGAAGTGCTTTATAAGGAAGCTAAAATCAATGAAGTTGTTCCCACTTACTCTTCTTCTAAAATTGGTCTTAAACGTTAAACATATGCTAGCATGATTAAAGCTATATGTTTTCATGAGGCATTCTATGTAGTGCCCTACCGACTAAAGGGACCTGTCACATTCATTACCCAGGTATAACAGGGCCTTTTTTATTATTTCTTCTCAGGTTGCCACTGTATAAATCACAGCACTTGATCATGAGAGATGCAGAGCATGGCAACTTTCACTGAAGCCCCAGGGGGCCCAATCATGCTCCTCACAAGGTCTGAAACTTTCAAGATCAATCCACAGACCTTCATTCAGGAAACTACTTGGGTACATGCCTACAGTTCAGTTAAGTAATTACTGTAGACACGGCACTGTACTAGTACAGTTCTCTTGCTTCCAGGATTGGACTTAGCTTAGTTAAGTGCCATGTGAATATACTGTAGGGTGCTTAAAGTTAAGAACATGCTTATGTGATTTCCTTGAGTAGGTCTGAATTCAAGCCCACAATAAATGTTTTCCGGAAGCAGAGCCTCAAGAGAGTCCCAATTGTGAAATCTCTGCAGTACTCAGGTATTACTAATCTGCAGACCTCAGTGCAATTCAGTTAAAACAAGAAATAAAAAATGACCAGGACCAAAAAAACCCAAACCCCTTAGGACTCAGTTTCTTTCCTCTTACTCCAGAGTCAGGCTGCCTGTCTGTCTGCTCTCACACAATTTGATGTTGTGTGTCTTAGTTCAAATAACTGTTCCCATTCATGTGCAAATGAGAAATCAGCTTCAAATCATAAGCATATTTGGAGAGCTTAGATAGTAGTACTCGTCCCTTGTTTTCCAGTTCTCCTTGAACCATGGCCAGAGCCTGCCTTTACATACCTAAGGAGCTCAGCAGACAAGTTAAGTAACAGTCAGGCTTGTATTCAGCATTCAGCTGTCTAGCCAAGTGGCTGGCAGAGCTGTTAGGAGATTTTGCAGACTAAGTGGTTTATTTTTTTCCCAATGCTATAGTATTTCAGTCACACGCTCCCCCTATATTTATTAAAGTGGAAGATTTAATCCTATAAATCCTTAAGGACACAAATAGTCCCAAAGCCGATGTGATTACTCACATGAGGGGGAAGCTACTCTGTATAATATCAGAGCTAAAACATGTCAATGAAGGTGGACAGAGAGTCTGTCTTACTTGCGTATTAATTTAGCATTTATTTGAATGTGTGTAAATTAAACCCTGAGACTAAAACCCTTTCTTCACCTCTGACGTGGACTGATTCTGGGTACCAAGCATACATTAAAAAAAAACAGAAATCAGTACCAGAGAGACTAGAATAGAATTGAAAGAGCCCAGTGAAACAAGTGATTAACCACATAATTGGGATATAAACACAGCACAACCTTAGACATAAGCTTCTTTTGGGACTAATCTGGTGTTGTGAAACATTGTAGAGGCCCTGTCTGGAATTAAGCCTTTCCACTGTCTTCCTTACCATTAAATTAATCAATATCCTAGACTGTAAGATGAGTGATGGCATTTTGTCCTAATAAATCCTGCTAGCAGCATCTTGTTCACAGTGACAGTCAGGAAAGGAACTCACTTACTTATACAGGAAGTTGCATGGGGCTGTCTGTGGGTGGAGAGTCCCCTGGGTTTGACCGTGGTCTGCTCTGTAGAGAGGATTCATGTAATCCACTCGATTCTTCCACAAATGAGCCCAAAGTGAGTATGTTCGTTCTTGAATTCTGGGAAATAATTTAAAGGAAGAATGTATAACTGCTCTTCAGCTGGGGGCGGGGGGGGATGGGCACAGAGATCAGGGAAAATATTCCAGTGCTCTTTGCTACCTATTAAAAAGTAGCTTTACAGAAAACAACTTTCCTTCATTCAATGTAAAGGACGAAATCCATTGCACCACCATAAAGCCAGAGTAGTTGACATGTAGGAGAAAGGGGGTTAGACATATAAAATGCAATCTTCATTTTCAGGTACATTAGCATGGCTTTTGTTGGATGGAATAGCAGCAACAAACCCTCTGTATTAATTTTGTGGTGTTGAAGCCACTGACTGCATGGTAATGGATCTCATGGTTCCTCCCATGTGCCAGCCCCTGTAACCCTCACTGCAAGACCTTGCTGGGCTACGTGGGACTGATATGCAGATATTTCTATGTGGCCCCCCTCCCAACACCACCTCTGGCTTCTCCTTCAGTAATTAAGCCTTTCCAATACAGCTGCTATTCAGGGCTTCTAAATGAATCCTCACTCCATGAACACATTTCAGCCCCATGAAAATGTACTGACCACTGAAGCTGGCACCAGATGACACAGCCACACAGAGCGCAGTGGCACTAAAATCAGTAATGGTGGCCTTTCTTTTACAGAAGGAATGACTAGTTTTTGGCAGAAACCTCATCTCCCATTTGGTAATAAGCAGAGGCTCAATTCGACTCTCTTCTGTGGTGTTGGAGTGGTAATTGCAACTTTGAGGGTTTTTTAGTTTATGTGGATAACATCTGAAATTGAAACTGTTGTGGGCTGCCAGGGCTACAACCCACCTGGAACAGGAATGCAGGTGTTGTATCAGTGCACAATTTGTTATTTGCAAGACTGCAACTCTGGATGGTTTTCTTCCTCATGGCAGGATTAGATTTTCTTGTTGGAGGTAGAATCAATGTGCAAGCAGCTGAGTCTCCAGCCTTGCAGGGCTCCAAACCTTTTCCTGCAAACTAGCTGTCAACCTGCCTGATCACCATGCATTACGGTTCTTGTTGGTAAACTGGGATGACAGGCATGTTGATTCTGCTGATGTGACTTCAGGTTTCTGGCATCTTCTGGCCATCTGTCATGTCAAGATACATGAGTCTCTCATTCAGTAGAACTTGGCATGGAAGGATTTGTGAGGGCTTTCAGATTGAGTAGGCTAGGTCCTAACCAGGTCTAGACTTGGACAGCTGTGACAACTATTACACTTGTAGCACAACAAAAGCCCTTGTAGTGCTGCGAAATGTGAGCATGCAGGTGTCTAAGTGGTCTGTAGTGCTACGAACATGGCCCAAGTGCTATAGAAAAGTACCTGTTTGAAACCAGAACTTCTCAGTAGGGCTACGTTGTCATATATAATGTCTGTTTAGTCAGATGTAATTTTACAGAGATCTCTAGTACCCCCAGCATCCTACAATGCTTTGCTATCCCTGCTTCCCTCCTCCAGCAGGGCACCCACCCACAGTGAGCTGCCAGAATCATGCTGGCACCCTGCTGCCAATGGGAATATCAGCAAGAGTCAGTGCCCCCAAGGCACTGCCACCACTGTCGCCAGTGCACAAGTTGTTGCCTGTGCTCTCACAGCAGCAGCAGCACTGGCAGGAACAGGTACTGCCACCCCAAGCTAGGGGACTATCTTTGACAGCCACTGCTCCAAGACCAGACCCAGTGCCAGGAGTCAATCCTCTCCCCTGCTGGGAGCTCCCAGCATGCTCTCTTCCTTCTATGGGTGGCTATCTTTGACAGCTGTTGCCACAGCCTGGGACAGGGCTGCACCTATGGAGGTCAAGCATAATCTCCAGCTACCCACAGAGGTGGCAGGGGTGAAGACAGCATGACCCATCACCCCCACAAATGGCCAGGGGTGCCTTTGTGCCAATACTTCCTCCAGCTGATATCCTTGTGGAGACAGCCCCAATCCCATGGGGCAGGGGCAGCAAAGGAACAGTTCCCTATCATTCCCTGGCTACGAAGCAAGCCTTTGATGTGACTATAACTCTGCAGTCTGAGGGCTGGAATATCTGTATGCTCCTCCACAGCACTATATATTTCAAGTGCAAAAAGTAGTGTGGCACTTTGTAGTGCTACAGATGAATGGCTGTCTACAGCCTGAGGGAAAGGAGAGATGGCAACAGCCCATGATGGCTTCAGCATTCTTTTCCCCCTACTGCCAATATGAACCAGATGGGATAGAAAAGCAGGGAATACATGTACCTGACACGCCTGAGGAGCCCTTTATACAAAGAAAAAGCATATGTGTAGTTAAGAAGTTGCTGCACGGAGAGCCTGTATTTCTTACTTTATCTGCCCCACATTCTTGAAGAGTTAAATGAAGCTGGATTACCTTGGAGGAGAGAGCATAGCTAGGTTTTAGAGAGGCTGGGAGGTTCAACATAGCTTAGGAGGCTGGGACAGCTGGCTAGTAGAGGTCTGTGTCCCAGGGAGGTGCCAGAGAATACGTTCTGTTCCCTGAGACTATGTCTGAAGGCAAAATTGGATGCTGCTCAGACCCAGCTGACTCAGAAGCACGTGATATCCAAAGATTGGGTCTGACAAAGCAAGCTGATGATCCTCACCACAGTGATTCCGTCACAGCTGTAACAAACAACTTCCCCTTTCACTTTTCATTTCAAGTTATTTACAATGTAATAAAGTTGTGGCCACTTCATCAAAATATGTTTGTGTCATTTCTCACTGATCACTCGTGTTTGTGTCCCTGTCATTTACCTTACGTAGCATTGCAGAAACCCAACACTTCCTTTTCAACTATATTGCCAGGTAAAGGAAGGTAAGAAATCTAAATTGCTGCCCTTAGTAGCATGCATGTATTAAGGCTTAAATGTGTGTCACTTTTTACAATTAAAATATGTAAAACCCACATATAGCTATGTCTTTAAGGAATAGAAAGTCTTACTTCAACTCTCGTCTCTCCTTCTGGCTGTTACAAAGGAAGTTACCAAACTGGCAGGAATAGATATGATGTTGTATATGGATCAGGAATCTTTCATTGAATTCAAAGGCACAGGGGAATTGTTCCATTAGCTGCCAAACACACTCAATGAACTGGTCAATAACTGGGGATATCTCCTTTGGATCACCATCTAAATTCCCATACCTAAGTAATAAAAAGATATTATGATACAAAAAACATGATGCATGAAAAACAGGTTTATACACTTGACAATATCCCTTTATGAATGGGAGGGATGAATCACAGACCTCGTGGTTCTCAAATCAGGCAAGACTAGAACTCTATAGAACACAAGGGCACAAATCATGAATGATGCAGAAAAGAGAATCTCTGTAGCAGCAATGGAGAGAAACCCTGTCAGGAGGCTTGCAGAGAGCCAAGGAACATGTACAAGGCCCTAGCCTTCCCTTTGCAGAACCCCCAGAGGAGGGCACCATGGGAAACAGCTACACTTCACTGTGTGAACAGGTCGTTTTTGTACCTATTTATCAAATGAGGTATTGCTGATGCTGTTCACAGTAGTTATCCCTAATTAATAGAAACATGAAAGTGTGAAATACAATATCATGCAGAGGATATGTTATATCTTAAACTCTGCCCAATATCTTTACTTGTTCATTCTGTTTATATGGGCCAAGACAGTAGGAAATAATACGGATAATTTCTTCTGAGGTACAAATTGCTAATTCTACTTATATTCTTCAAAGAAAATATAGCAATACCGTAAAGGAGACCATATTAATTGCTGATCATTATGCACCTTATATTTTTTTTTAATGTTTTTTGAGGAACTGACAAACTGAAAAGCTGAAAACGAGGGATGTATGCCCACTTTACATGAAAACAGCAAATAATTTCATGCCAAAAACACAGCTAGAGGCACAAAAATAGCCTTTCTAAATAGTTTTATGTTATACTCTCTTTAAGTTTCTGAACTAATTCTTCTGTTTTACTTAGATTATTTTCTTACAGACAGTTTGGATCACAGATCCTTCAAGTTAAAGGCACTTCAGCAAGTATCTTACCTTAAGTACTATCCTAAACTAGGCATGCTTTTCTGAACTAGGGCCTTCATTTTTATGAGTGAAATCCTGGCCCTACTGAAGGCAATGGCATTGATTTGCTAGAGATGTCCTTTGACATTGATAGAAATTTACCCCCAAGCATATTATTTTTTCTCTCCAAAATGCATGCTTGAGTGCTAAAAGCAATCTGTAATCACACAGCCTATACACGCAATAGCAAATGGGAGTTCAGGCAGTTTGGTGGAAAATAATAGTTAAAATGTATTTTACTTTTCCAGGTGGCTACAGTAAGCAGTGAATATTGTCACTGGGTATACTGTTGTTTTCAAAGGGAAACAATAAAGTAAAATTGTTATGACTACAGCAGAGATCTGATTTTATCTTAGAAAAACAGTATATATTAAACAGTCTTGCAGGGCTCTTACCTGTGATTAAATTTATGACCAAAGGAAACCCAATCTTTTTCAATTAATACCTATAATGAGAAAAGCACACAAGTCTCTGGCAGTCAACATTATTTTTAAAGCAAGCAGAAGAATGATATCAATAAATAAAACTGAAAATCTGAGGTACAGAAAGAAATAGTTTTCCTTCTTTAGTAGAGTTAACTTGAGTACTTTAAATGTCATTTAGACTAATCTATCTTTTTTATTAAATTTTACAAGCCTTGCTAATCTATCTTTGCACCCAAATTTGATAAACAAAACTGCAGCCTGTCTTTGAAAATTAAATTAAACTATAAAGTGATGGCAAGGCTCCCACTACAGCTTCCTGAACAAAAAGCTAGTTGCCTTATAAATAAATAGTCATGTACCTGACTAGGTCTAAACCTTTGATGAAATTACTCTATAAACTAAGACAAGATATTTTAGAAAATCTAGACCACTGACACTACCAGACCACCTAGTTGTAATTTAGCCTTTTTTATTTCTTAAAGGTAAAAGGTTATTTTATTTAAAAAATCTATGTTATTTATTTTAAAAGTAAAAGGTTATTTTCCTTAAGCAAAAAGAGCATAGTGCATAATGTTATTCATGTTTATAAAATCCTCTATAAAAGAGACTTGCTTACCATGAATCCCTTCAGTGTCCTGTAATAGGGGTCTAACAGAAGGCTTGCTACAGAGCAAACCTGAGCTGTTCTATCCCAGCCATCTGAGCAATGAACAAGAACACTCACACCTTCCTCTGCCACAGCCTAAAAATATAGAAAGACTCTCAGATAAAACAATGAAAATACAGCAATAGGTAGAAATTAGAAGCAAGACAGTCTAGTCATTAGCATGCTAATCTGCATTTTGGCAGACCTGAATAAATTCCTTGCCCACTAACTTCCTTGTAATATTAAGCAAGTCAAGTCCAGATCCAAAAAGAATTTGATGCCTAAGTAAAAACTTAGATCCTCAAACCCCACACTACTGCCACCTATACTTGGAAGCACCACAAGCCACTAGATGCCTCAATTTTCAACTAGTAAAGTACCTGGGGTGCCTATTTCATTGTTTCTGGGCATGACCAGAGCCACCTAAATCTTGAAAGTAAATGAATACTTGGACAAACACCTGCTGGGGTTCACAAAATGCATGTTCCTGCACCTCCCTCACCTGTGGGTTCCTTTTCCTGCAGGTGTTCTCAGACTGTACCTAATCAATTGTTTGACACCCCAAAGACTCGCAAAAAGAAAAGATGTAGGTGATGATGCCCTAATACCCACTTGTCCCTGGGTTATAGCAATCACCTATGATGTGAGAGGTGTGTATTATATTCTGGAGTATATGTGAGAAAAATTCTGGTAATGCTGTGCATGTGCACAGTCACTTCAGCCCTTGTAGTGGTGAGCTGGTCAGTGCTCACACCTTAGCCACATTGGGATTCACAAAAACAGGCATTTGCCCATCTGACCCAAAACATATACTTAGACTACAGCTAACCCCATACAGCACAGCCAGAGTAAGAGGTGGTGGTGCCTCTCTTTTACCCAAAAATTCAGTGTTTAGAGCAGGGGTGGGCAATTATTTTAGCTGGAGGGCTGCTTAATGACTTTTGGTGATCTGTCAAGGACTGCAAGGGTAGTCCCACCCCTTAAAAGGTGCCCTGCCCCCTGAACACTATCTGGGACCAGAAGTGCCCCCCCTGCTCCTCTGACCTTTGCCACTGGAAATCCCTCCCCTTGACCCCGGAAGTACTGCTTTTGGAAGCGGGGGGGTGGGGGCGGAATCGCATCTTGGAACCAGAAAAAAAATCATATACTAAAAATCAAACATCTACTATAACATATTTTGACTTGTTTTCAAAAAATATTGTTGTCCTGATTTACATGCATTTGCATAGTGTATATAGAGGTGATTGCATAATAGTTCAAAATAAACTCTTACTCCTGTACGTTTTGTGTTGTGGGGGTGGGGAGTTTATCGGGGATGTAGGAGTGGGTGTGGGGGGCTTGTGGGGTGGGTTTGAGAGTTTGTGTTGGGTTGGTGGGGGTGTGGGGATGCTGGGTGTGGGGTATGTGTGGATGGGTGTGGGCCTCCCCAGACTGGGCTGGCTCCATGCCAGAATGTGGGGCTCCTCGTATTGCAGGCAGAAGCCACGCGCCATCAGCCCAGCCGGGCCAGCTCCATGCCTCCATGTGGGGCTTCCAGCACCAGGAGCCCCACATGCTGGCATGGAGCCAGCCTGGTCTGGGTTGAAGGTGCATGCCAGCAGGCTGGGCTGGGCTGGCTACGTGCTGCCACATATAGCTCCCAAGACTCAGCCAGAGCCATGTGCTACTAAGGGGCTCTTCCTGCCATGAGCCTCAAGAGTCCACCACCTGATGCTGCCCCTTGTGACAGCCCCCACCCCCCCCCAGTGGTAAGGGGGCCCACATCCACCCACAAACCTCACACTCACATCCACCATGCCCCTGCAGGCAGGAGCTCCTCTCCCCACTCACCAGCTATCCAGTCACATGCTATCATGTTCACTGCTTCCACACGGAGCTCCTAGCTGGAGTGCCAGGAGGCCCATGGGGGTGGAGGTACAGAGCCCACCCAGTCCAATGACACATGACCTCTGAAAGCCTGCCTCCCATTGACTTTCAGAGAAGCAGCCGTGGGCTTGTAATAATTGTTTTTTGGAGGGGCCTCACGGACTGGGTAGAATGGTATGGTAGGCCAGATCTGGCCAGGATACAGGAGTCTGAGATCCAACTCCTTTCTCTATCTGAGGGGAGCTCCAGCAACCATAGAAATTAATGCTGCTGCCACTACTGCCATCACTCAGGGGTCACCTGGCCTGCAGCAATCCCCATAGATCCAGCCCATAATAAGCTGCAAGTCATATCCAGCCCAACCCAACAATTCTGAAAACCCTTGTTCAGGTTATTAGAATATTAGGTATTCATGGTGCAAGTGATCTGTACAAAGAAGAGGTTATATTTATTTTGAAATCATTTAGGGAAGTTATCGCTCATAATGAAGGAGATTTTTGTTGATAAGATTTCTGTCCTTTTTTTCTTTGACTGTTTATGCTGACTAAAGAAAGCTCTACTCAAATCATAAAACAGAAATAAAATAAGAAAGATAGTAACTAGAAAAATAAGCACTGAGATTTGTTTTAAAGTGGAACAACGAATAGCAATAAATCATCAGTGCTTATCTATGAAGAGAGTTAAATCTATCTGAATTAGAATAACGTGGGCAAAAAACCAATAAAGAATTGGAAGTGCTAAAATCCTCGTTGCTAAACACAAATCATAAACAGAGCATAAATTCCAAGTAACCAAATTCCAGTAACCAAACACGACAGCATTCCAGATTAAAGTTCAAATCTTTCCACTGAATTGGGAGAGAAACAGGAGGCTGTCAGATGCATAGGCAACAAAAATAAAGAAAAAACTGATAGATGCTATATAAACTCCCTGCTAAAAGAAAGATGGCAAGGCCTGAAGGCAATGACCCCACTGCTGTTTATAGCAGAACTTGACTTCAGGGGCCTAAGATTTTACTTACTGACTGACAGTAGTATCTCTAGCAGGTTATATGAGGATAAAATAACAAACCAGCCCCTGTATATTAGAAAGACACAATCAAGGTAAGAAAGAAAAATTGGACATAGGTAGGGGTCTACCCAAATCAAGGAAGCAGGCAGTCAATTTTTCAGGTAGATCACGGGGCCAGCCGCCATTTTGTGGGCTTATTGTGGCAGCCCCCCGCCATGCCTGTGATTGGCTGAGGAGCCCAAGTAGCCCCACCTCTCACTGCTGATTGGTTAAGGGGATTGTCCATCATACAGCCCCATCCCTTGCCACTGCGTGGAGAGTGGTGGAGCCACACAACAGGTATCCCTCTTAGCCAATCAGTGGTGAGGAGCAAGGGCTGCACCCACCTTGCCTGCTCCCCTTCATGCCAGCAGCCCCCTCCCCCTTTCTCCCCTGGCATGCTGTGTGGCCAGGATGCAGCAGCCATAAGGACTGTTGGCTCCCACTAGGGAGCCAGCATTTTATTTTTAGGAAGTATGTGCCCTTGCAGGTTTCATAGACATTGCCCGATTTCGTGATTTCTGTGCAATTGCAATTTGAGTAGGTTTCTTTCTATACATAGTTTCTGAATATTGGTAAATGTAAGAATGGGCATGTTGGGCATGTCCACACATCCATGTACATGTGCTTGCAGCAGTACAAATTTATGCCGGAGGTCTGTGCCTCAGCACTTGCCTGAACATACACTTTGGTGTGGAGCAAATTGTGTTACTTGGGGCAAACTCACTCTAACCAGCTCCTCCTGGATCTTTAGCTAGGGGGAGCTAGAGGCTGGCTCTAACAGTATAAAAAGCTGCCCTGGTGAGCAGTTCTGGGCTACTAGCCCTCAGGAGCTTCTGAAGCCCAGCCACTTGGTATCTGGGGACACTAGCCCTTTGTGCTAGTCCTCCCCCACCCACACACATGTACACACTCCCCCCTACCCTCACAGCCCTACTTACCTAGAACAAAGCCTAAGCCCAAGTCACTGCTGCAGCCTTACCCCACTCCTATTTTCTCCAGCACGGGTATGTGGCAGCCATACAGAAGCTTTGGCCACATGCTAGAGCATCTCTCTGGAGGACTCAGCCTCCAGTTGCCTCAGGGCATGCTCCAGGAGCACACCCTGAGCCACTTTTTTCCAACATTTTTTTTTTATACTGGAATTCCCTCTAACTGAGATACCACAACAGGCACGTGCTCGCTCATGTAGATGCAGCCATTATTTTCAAATCTAAGCACTTGCATACTAACATGATCTCGAAAAGCAAAACAAAATAATGGGTTTGGAACAGGCTCCCCCCAGAGGTGGTACAATCACTCACCCTGGCAATCTTGATGCCCACCTTGCTGGGAGTATCTGACCCCAGCAGTCTTTCCTGCCCAAGTGCAGGGGGGCTGGACTCAATGATCTGTAAGGTCCCTTCCAGCCCCTAACATCTATAAAACTATGAGTGTCTCGAACCATCCAGCATAGCAAAGAACTACATATAGCCTATATTTCAGAAACAAGAGTAGTAAAAGAAATAACGTAATTCCTACTTACTATAAAAGAAAGATAGGTTGGGGAATAACACAAAATTAAGAGATACTTCAGCTAAATAAAACATTCTCAGATGAGCAATCCATTTAAATATCTGTTATTAGGATAAAATATGAGTTGTATCTTTTTGTAACACAAGCCTCAAAATGAGAACACTGACAATAAATGGTGATTGGCACAAAAGAGTTAGCAAAGAGGATGTGGAAATTAAAAGATTATTAATGGATGATAAATACCACTGATCAAATCAAATGTGATTCAGATATACAGTTTCTCAATAGTAAAAACAACAACTTATTGAGATTTTTTGGCTCCCCCTGCCAGAGCTGACCCAAGCAGGGGCCCATCCCTGCTCCAATCCTATGTGCCCCAGACTTGAAGAAGCTGCTGCTGCCATCAGCAGTGGCAGTGGTAGCGGTGCAGGGAGAGGGGGAGGTAGCAAGCAGCTGGATGCAAAGTTGGTGGTGCTGAGTCACTGTGGCTGCTCCGCCGAGCTCTGCAGGGGTCCCCAAAGTCCGGGGCCTGAGGCAGTTGCCCTGATCCAACCCCTCCAGAGATGGCCTGCCCCCTGCACTGGCAAGCTGCAATGGCATGATTTGGATCTAATACTTGATCCCAAAAACTGCATGTCCTGCCACGCGTGTGTGGCATTGCAGAAGGCGAAATGGTTGGGATCAGATCCTATGTGCCTTTAAATGGGGAATGCGGCATGCCCAGGACCCATAGTATACAAAAGCAAAATGGAAAAATGTTATTCTAATTTACTGGCAAAGTAACCACATAGCAGTTCCTGCCACACTGATGAATTGGGCTTTCTTCTGCCTTGACCTACACCATCAAACATTAGAGCCAAATTCTTTTCTGTTGTAACTCCACTGACATCTGTAAAATTGCTCCAGCAGTGATTTTGGTCAGTCAGTTTTTATTTAGCTTTACATGCTTTACCTTTGCAATGAAGATGCCCGCATCCATGATGGCTTTGATATGCTTTAGCCAGCCAGAATTCTCCAGGCCCCAGAGGAAGTCGCTCATAGAGGGTGACCTCAATTCACAAACTGCAAAAATAAACTGTATGTTTAATAAAATATTTTAACTTGTAGGTTTAGCTTCCAGGCTGTATGTTCAGGGGTTATCTGTATTACATGTGCATCATGTGAAATGAAATGAATGCATTTACATATATTTGAGGTCCTATATAACATGTAAGAAATCCTAAATTTAAAAAAATTGTTGAGTCAAATTTTTCCCAAACTAAGTTTTGGGGAGGGTGAATTATCTTTAAAAAATCTAGGATAAATAGTAGGCCAGTGCAAATAGGGAAATATTCGATTTGGATTCAGCCAACTCAGAGGACAGTGATTTGATCTGGTGATTCAAATCACTGTCCCCATTTGATGTGGCCACAACAGAATTGGAGATTCAGCGCTGATTAGGAGATTCAGATCCACTGGGGAGAGGCAGGCACAGCTGGGCGGATGCAGGTTCTCCCGCAGCTCCTCCAGCTGTGCCTGCCTCTCCTCGAGCAGGGGGAGCTGCAGGAGAAGCCCCTATAGCTGCCCTGCTTGACCCCATCCCCGCCCAGCCCAGCCTCCCAGACAGTGTGCAGCACCCTGCCGAGCCACACTGTACCCACGCGATGCAACAGCTGCTTCATGGGTGCCAAGCAATGGGGACAATCCCCGCTGTCCCCCACTGCCCTGCGCTGCACAGAAGGGCTCTGCCATGAGCCGTCAGAGGCCCTAATTGCTGCTGCTGCAGCCAGCGAGTGCAGGGCTTTTTTTTTTGCTTTTTTTTTTTAAAGTTCTGGGAGGCAGGGGCCAGGCAGAGCAACCATGGGGACTTCTCTCGTGGCTTCCCTCACCAGGGCAGAGGCAGGCACAGCTGGAGGAGCTGCCGGAGATGCCCCCATGGCTGCCTTGCCTGGCTCCAGCCTCCCAGCACTTAAAAAAAAAAAGCCCCACACTCACCAGCTACAGCAGCAGCAGCAATCAGGACCTCTGAGGGCTCATGGCAGAGCCCCCCTACACAGCACAAGGCAGTGGGGAGCAGCAGGGATCTCTGCCCCCACCTGGCACCCACGCAGCGGCTGCCCTATGGCATGGGTGCAGTGAAGCTCGGCAGTGTTCCGAGTGATGTCTGGGAGCTGGGGCAGCTCCAGCAGTCAGCCAGAGCCCAGCATGGTTCAACCCCAGTGGCCCCACCTCCCAGACAATGTGCAGCACCCTGCCAAGCTGCACTGTACCCGTGCCATGGTGCACCTGCTGCACGGGTGCCAGGCAGGGAGGGGCTATCTCTGCTGCCCCCCGCTGACCCAAGCTATGTGGGGGGGCTCTACCATGAGGCCCTGATCACCACTGCTGTAGCCGGTAAGTGCAGGACTTTTTTTTTTTTTTTAAAGTGCCAGGGCTAGGCTGGGGCCGGGTGGGGAATAGGACCAGGCAGGGC